CGACAGACTGATAGTTGCAAAAAGCTAGTTTTTAATCCCTACAAAGCGAATAAATCGAGAGAATTCGGGAACAAGTTTGAGATAATGTCTCAGAGCATGCGTGTAACATCTCTTTATATCTCGGATCCACCAAAATATCGTTTATAATTGGGACTCTGTTTGCAATTGATGTTGCCTGTCATTCTTTGGATAGTTTATTGGATAAACTGCCTGTGCAAGTCTTCCGCTTGTCTCGTTAATCATGAGAAGGGGTAATACCACACTTGATCCTCCCCACTGAATCCAAATGACTAGTACTCGAACGATATCGTATGTAGGAACCCGCGATTAACTCCATTTGACCGTACCATATATGTGCTTTATATGCACGTACTTCGTTTTGGTTAAAAGGATTACTTCATTTTTTCATAGTTTCAGAATGCCTGAGCCCAACCATTTTTGTTTCGCATAATATTAGTTATGGGTGTTTGTATATCATCGTTATTCACTGGTTGCATAGTTAACATTTTTTTATTTATCAACCCTCAGAAATGTGCTTTGCACTTATTGTAAGCTTAAATTCCCTTAGGTGATTGACGGCTTAGAAGTTCAAGACAATTCAGCTATTTTGGTCATTTATTATCATGAATGGTTTGTCATGTGACACGCCACGAATGATTGGAGAGAAACGTTCTAATAAAAAACAGTGAACCACCATCCCTAGTTAAGGCGCTAACTTGCTGACCGGAAAGTCTCTGGTTCGAACCCAATCTGGAAGCATTTCAGCCCTCGTGCTTCTGTTGTTTAGCCCGGCAAGTATACACCGAAAGGGTTTTACAGCTGGGTGATCATTATTTTATTATTCAACTAGGGGGTTGCTCCTTATTGGCGGGTTGTCTTTACTGAAAAGTCATTCCTCTGAGTTCCTTTAGCAACTAATCTCGATCTGATATTCGTTCTCTGATACTGTCAGACTTCACATTTCGGGCATCATGGAAAACACCAACTGACGAGCTTGACCTGTTAACGGCAAGTATCGTTGGGGTGAGCTACTGAGCGATGGGATGGTCGACAAACTGCGTCGCTGATACCTTTGGGGAACGTACTTATCAAGGCAATGCTCCCAGACAATGCATCGAGTGATCAACGTGCTCTCCAACGCACACGAACGCAAAGGGCGGTGACTGAGAGACTCGGTCCAGGGACCTTTTGGGGGACACATAGGCTAAATTGCATCCACCCAGCCGTCAGAAGCGTGTGTGCTTGTAAAACCCTTACGATGGAGATCTTCTAAGCACACTTCTCAGAGTAACCGATGTTGTGTACGTTCTCACAAGTCATTTGACGGACAAAACGGGATCAATTTTATCTCTGAAGAGAAAAACCGTTGATACAGAGATAATCCGGGTGATAAGATATGGCCCAGAAACAAACGACAAAAAACGAAACAACAAAAACGAATCGTTCCACTTTTGTTCCATTCACATTTGCAGTTTGGACACGGATTATGGTGGCCAATGCTCAAGGTTGAGTAAGTAGCTCGCCCCAGCAGAACCGACGGTCCACCAGCGTGGCATTGCAGTCACATAACAGGCCGGCGCAATCTCGCTTGATTGTGATATTTCATCCGTTATTTACACTTAATGATTTAGTGTTTGTGTTTATTTGTATCTACTAAGCCCCATTCACTTATGGTTGTCTGTGTCATCGGAACAATGGTGTTGGCACTACTGGACGCGTTTCTTCGTAATTTGGGCTTTCCATTTGTTGCCTGTTCGGATAAAGTGGGAAAAATCTATTGCGTCTTACACGTGTCTGACTCTTGTCACCTCTACATCTATCCCAGGATCGCACATATATGAAGGACAAACAGCACACCTTCAGACCTAAATATGGCCCCAAAGCCTCCACAGGTCAAATATTTCTACATCTACGTTCGTCCGCGAGTCACTAATCTAGGCAGAACAGGTCCGCCATCTAGCATAAGGAAGAGCTAAGTGAAGAAATGGGGACCGACAACGAGGCAGACGGCCGGATGAAAAAAAGGGTTTATTCAGGCTCCCCCTGGAATAAAGTGAGGACGTATTACCCGAGAGATTACTTTTTCACAACATATTTCAGCTTTTACAACTTCCAGATTGATTCCGGACCAGGCTGTCCTTCTTTAGCATTTAACTGTTGTTTATGTTCTGTTGTGGACCCTTTTCACGCAGCGTTGAAGGCAATCCAATTAGAATTATAAACGAGAGATTCAGCAGATGATCACTTGTGTAGCTTGTAACACGCTAGCAATTTACAAGTTAGTGGGACCCCATTTACGTACGAACTGGTGTTCAAGTAGAAAACAGGGTTGATGGAAACTCAGCAACTACTCCCGTCTGATAAGACCCTAAGAGGGCCTAAATCGGTAGTGAACTGCCAAGGATTTTCCGTCCATGCCAATCTTGTTCTTCTTGCAGACACATTTCCCCCTACCGTAATCACTGCAGTCACCCGATTTGAGATGTGCCTTTGTCGATCGAGATGATGCTGGCGATGACGAACGGTAAACAAAATGATGCATTGACGCTCTTATCACCCGGACGTCAAACTGTTGCGCAACCGAAAATTGGGCTGAGTATCATAATCACCATCGTTTTCATCAACTATACAACGATGTTGACTTTTCCATCTCATGTTCACCAACCTCATTTTGACACCTAGAGTAATCGGGTTTACAAGGTAACTTGGGTTTTGAATATGTATGGATATTACTAATTACAAACAATAGTAATCCTTTAGCTTCTAATATTTACGGTGCCCAGCCTCCATACTACCCGAAGGAAGCCAAGGCACGAGTTGAGATGGGTTTGAACCACGGACCCTACCCGTTCAGTGAGTTTGCACCTCAACCACTGAGCTACCTCAAGCTCATTAATATTACTAGGTTGCGTATGGATTTACATCCATCCAGCGGAACAGCCAGAAGGAAAAGACTCTTGCATCTAGTTCAACGTTATCAAGCCTAACTCCTAGTAAAGATTATCAAACCACCTATCGAAGATCTGCGTTCGCCGAGACGAAAATCACACGGGATCTGCTTTGCGGAATGTGCGGTGAAGACGGACCTTTCGACAGCCGTACTGGTTGAAAACCCGGGATGTGACAGAACAGCGCATTAACGTCGCGCCAGTGGGCGGGTTGCACAAGTATTATGCGTTGCCACTGGTGATTTCGCCAACTGCGGGACGCTTGATAAAGCAGGTGGAGCCAAGGACGTAGGTATTAAGAACCCAGCGCTAGCATTTAAAAGCTGAAGCTGTTGTTGAAGCATGAGTTCAACCTGATCTGTTCCGTGATCATGGATAACCGACCCCCGCCAGACTGCTAAGACGTCATTTAATACCCCTACGCACGATACACGTACTGAGCTGAACAAACCTTCAACTGAATCCATAGGTCAGAAGACAAACGACATTTGTACCCAAAGAACGTGAAAACGGGGAGCGTGCGTATTTGCAAGGAACGAAATCGAGAGCCAGGATGGACCAATAATCACATCAGGGCAGTCCGGAAACTCAATCTTGGAACTTTAGGACTTGTTAACTCCTGATTCTGGGATTCCATGAGCACTCTGTATTTAAACCTAGTTGGTTCAAAGCATCTGATCAACTGGTATATGCCGCTCATGGCACGGGGCGAGATGGACCAAGTGGATAGGGCGCGAATTTACTGACCAGAAGGTCCGTGGTCCGAGCCCGACCTCTGTCTCTTGACTTCCCCTGTCTAGACTTGGGCTACCTGGTAGTATCCCAGCACTCGTGCCCCCTTCGTATGGCATGGCAGCTAGGCACCGAAAGGGTGCAACAGCTGAACGATTTATTTTTAGCAAATGGCATAACGTATAGCGGTGCAAGATGTTTGTGACCCTCGTAGTGGAACTATGCACCAACAGCACTCTCTACTGACATTACGAAGTGGANTTAGTCGTGTAGGCCCTTCCGAACCTAAAAAGCCATCATATTCGGAGCGATCCTTACAGCGTGGTTCCACTTACTTAGCACGTCCGAATTAACACACGACAAGTTCAAACAAGTGATCTGAATGCAAATCTTACGAATTCAAAAACTTTCGTGAAGTTGAGTACATCAGGATGGGCTCGGGTTCCAAGACTGTTTAGGAGTAGACAGAGTAAAGTCTCCCCAACCGCACTTGGTATTGTAGGGGTAGGCTGCAGTATGATGCCATGATACAACGAGAAATCAAGACAAGATGGTAACTTGGCAGTATGGTCAGTAACTTCGTGGTTGCCATCATTATTTCCGCGTCGACTTGCAGTTTCTGGAATGCTTCATACGAGGCGTTCATTGGGGATTTCACAACCACACTTAGGCGACACCAGCATAACAGTACCCAGATCGGGTGTTCAGTGATGCTTAGGCGAGTAGGTATGTTTGCTGTGGGTGTTTCAAGCCGACAGCTGCAGGTGATTTCTCAGACTGATCAACTTCTTTGCTTCCTGGGAGATATCGGGTTACCAGAACACAGGCAAGAGGTCACTACTGTAGTACGTACGTAATGCAGCGACCAACGAAAATTCTATCCCGACATTGATGAGAAATCCACTTGCCAGAAACTACCATAATTCTTGAAACTTGTTTGTGTTCTTGAAGTTACGAGAGTCAGCGAAGTACTTAATTCCAGCTGGACCGTGAGTCTGGTTTCCATCGATCGACCAAATACGCAAAGAACCTCATTTCTGGTGGGGAAATTGAATTGAACAGGCTAGCGACGGTAACAGAGCGGACCAGACAAAGTTTGTTGCTCCTAATACTCCTTACACTGAAACCTATAGGGCTCCTACCAGTCATCATGAGCATAATCATTAGGAGCGACAACCGTGAAGGGGACAAACAAGCAGTCAAACAACTCCCGCCATGCATAAAGCAGGTTTCACCTCCAAAGTGAGACTGGGCTAAGTTCATAAGCCATCCACAGGAACAAGTAGCCCACCATCAAGGAGAAAAAGCACCACGTGGGAAAACGCCAATTATGTATGAAATGCCGGCACGTGCTGAGCATTGAGTCAATTTAGAAAAAAAGGATACTTAAGCTTCTCCTACGATCCCAAAAAAACAATCGTAGTCTCGTCATCATAAACGTCACCGAGGAAGGAGTATGTTACAAAAGCAAGTGTGAAAATGCCTAACACTCAAGCGCAGTCCAAGGCGCAATTCGATTCCGTAAACTTAGCACCCACAAACCAACAATGTTTTTCTTCTGATTCCAAGAACAAAGTTATCTGATCAGCAAAAGGAGTGGTTTTCTGAAGAATAAAAATGCGATTGCGTTGCCCACATGATCACCATCAGTTCAGTTCTTGAACCAGCTGAACTTTGCGGCCGCGTTTAGTTGAATTCGGTGCGACGCAACAGAACAGGGAGAGAAATATCTAATGCTCATCGGTTTGAAGTAGTGAAGAGCGACAGATCACAACACGATGAACGTGTGGCGAATTCATTTACAGATGGTTTTTGAAGATTATATACAAGTTCCAAAGTCTTATACCTTGAAAAAGACTGTCGACTGAGGCAGAAAGATTATGCTAACCGACTGTCAGGGTGTTTCTGGATTCGGACAGTTGCCAGAGTGGACAACAGAACAGTTGTTCGACAAAGCGGGGTCGACCTGTTTGGATGCTGCGGAATCATCTTCGCTGGGTGACAGCTCACTGGATTGACGGATCGTAGAAGTGACGGACAAAGGTTTGCGTCTGTTGGGACCACGAGCTTGCATCTGTGGACCAGAGCGACTATCTGAGGCATGACTAGCACCATCACTTTGACGCCGACGGCCACGTGGAACAGTACTGATGGATTCTTGATTTTTCTTGCGTGCATTATTGCCACTCGATCCTCTAGACCACCAAGAGTCTGTTCTCGTTCGTTCACATGAGTCGACCCCATCACACAGTTTATCTACCGTAATTTTGCTGGTCGAGACGGCAACAGATGAAGTGAGAACATCGCCGATAGGCGTAGAGGGGTTACAGTTCGGGGTAGTACTAGAAACCGGAGTATCCAGAAGTGAATTCACTTTATCATGTGAAGGTATAAGAACCAAGCCATCACAGCCAGCATTATTAGCTGGCACGGGGGGCATCACCGAAGATACATTTGTCTCCTCCGCATAAGCCGGTTGTTGATCGGGATTGTCCATACATTTTCCTAATTCTACTGTTTCAGCATTCAGTTCAGTAGATATGAGATTCACTCCCTTTGAATCACTATCACCATTGCACTTTACGGAACACGAATGTGTGTTTGAGGGTACTGGCATCTCTCCATCTGGTTTGTTAATCGCTGCGATAGAGTCCTCTGAACCGGTATCGGATTCATAACTAGATGGAAGTGACGGTAAAGAAAGCTTCAGATACCGATTGCCACACTCTGTAAGATCGGGAGAAGTGAACAGGTTGGATTGTGTTAGAGGGGGGCACACATACGTTGGAAGCAATGAGGTAGCTGCGGCAGCGGCAGTCGGGAAGTTAGCTAGAATTGACGGCGTCGTCAGAAACACAAGCTGTGAGTTGCATCCATTGGTACCGATTTGCTGTTGAAAAAATAAAAGGAATACCATGAAAGACACTTGAAAAAGACTGTAGGGTTTTTAATTTGCAGAGAGGACCGATATACATAACGAAATGGCAGTGTGTCGGAGTGAGAAAGATTAAAGTGACAAGAATGATGACAAGCTAGTTTGAGTAGGCACCTTTACGCCAGTGTCATAAGTTATATGCACTGGTATTCAGGTAGCGCGCAACATCCTTTGGGACGTATGCTGACAATGAAAATAACATCCAATACGGAAGTTGGTACTAAGGATTCGGTTTAAAATGCATTAACTATGACATTTAAAATAACACGGCTGCTAAACGACAAGCGTCAAACTAATCATCATTGACAGCAACACCAAAGAAAACAAGCGTATGTGTGTGTGTGTGGGGGGGGGGGAATAGCTTAGTGGATATTTACTCATCCGCTCTGCATACCGGGCTGCGTAATGGTTAGCGTGTCTTTTACTAAGCAGATGAAGAACAAGTCATGTACCAATGGAAAGCTCAGCATTGGTTAGTTACGGCTACAAAGGCATGCAACAGGTATTCAAGTAGGATCAAAGAAAATACCTGGTATGTATGACTGCGTCAGGGTCGAACGTAACAAGAGTACGTAAGAGCAAGTTATACCATGTAATACCTGAATGCACTCACCCAGGCGGGTTGGGGTTGTTGCGACTGGACATATGAAGCAGAGTATTGTAATTTGACGGGAAGCTGACCGACGTGAGAGGGAAGTTGGGGGCCGTTAAGTGCGGGTTGATCAGCGCCTGCGCCGTCTTTTTGCACGTAGTTTGTACCCGGGTGCACGACAGGGAATCTGGAAGGTGGAAGTGTTGTCGAGGTTTTTGGTACACTTGAGTTACTGTCGAGGGATACGAAATAGGGATTAACCATATTCGCAGCATTCTGGTTCAGCTGAAGCCCAACAGAAACTGGGGTTTGAGGTGGTGGTCCGATTAGAGGAGTTGCACGACTGGAACTGGCCGGAACATGCGTGTTCAGCGTTCCAGGTTGGACGGTAGTAATTGGCAAAGAGAGTAGGGGGTTCGGGCCCGGCGTACCGTTCGGCAATACAGCTGTTAGTAGAGGCAAATAAAACGTAAACGACTTATCAGAACGACTGGTTCGTCCACCATCGACCCTTTTGTTGGCATTCTGACCAAAATATGGACACAACTAAGATGACATACCGCTCGTTGGATATCAAATTCACAGAATACAGGTTCTAACAAATAAGTAAACCAGCTTGTAAAACCAGTTTGGAGGCTGAAAAACGCATTGCACAGTTAGTGTCGTCAACTCAGGACCACCCATTATTGTACACCAAACAAAAGGTACATACACAGTAGAATGTTGTCACACATTTTTGAAACTCGATGAAGGCCATCTTACAGAAATTGCTTCCGCTCAAATTAACCTAATGTGATATCATCAAGTAAAGAGTTTTATTAAGGTAGTGTTATGCACTGTATTCTGTGGGGAAGCATACACTCACAGGAATGTGTGACGCATAGACCAAACAAGGCGAGAAGTTTTAAACAAGCACTATGCACAATTGTGCATCTGTCTTGCGTAAGTGAAACTTCCCAGATATCCTCACATTACGAGCCATAAGGCTGAGTTACCAGAACCCCCTTCCAAAATGGTTGTGGACATAGGTAGATAGTTTGACCGATTATTTACCTGTTCACTCAAGGGACGGCAAGCGTCGATAGGTGATTGAATGTAAATGCGTGTTAAGTTATTAAATGCTACGGATGAGTTATACACGCATCTAAGTCACAAAGGATATGTACCTTGAGGGGCTTTGCGTATCGCCCGCATTATAGATTTGAACGAATTCATTTCCGTAGGCGAGTATCTGGCACCACAGATTCACACTCATCAGAAACGATCTGACCCATATCATGAGTGAACTTACCACAATAGCCAATTGTCCACATATTGCTCCATGAGACCACAACCATTTATGCAGTTTACGTAAGGTAGTAAATGCATGAAGTGAAGAGGTCACCCAGTTAATTTCGCCACTCCTCTAGTTTTAGTTATCTTCGTGAGAAATACGTCCAATTCTCATAGGAGGTGCAGACGTCCTTAAAAGGAACACCTTTAACAGAGCTCAATTTGCTAGGTCCGGACATTTTTGCACACCGGAAAAAAAGGAATATCTGGAATACACACACGGAAAAGTGATAGTATTCGCGCTAAAGGACACAACTTCGATTGGTAAATTTCCCGGGTAGTCATATGCGTGCGTGCAATGTCGAAACCCTGGATCAAATGAACAATCGTTACACACCCGGATGGATAAATATCCTCATTTTCAGTAAGTCACACGAATTCAAGTGGTCTTTATCTTAATTAAGAGGCACGCTAACAGCTGTGCGTTGTACATAACTAAGGTGGCCTACGTGAAACAATTGATTCCCATACCATACCACCACGTTCACGTTGTGCGTCAGATAAGGGCTAGTGAATCGCTGCAGTCGTTATCGCGTTTTTCTCAATCATGTACTTGATAGGTTGGAGTGAGATGAGTTCATCCTTGCAACCGGTCGATCCCAAGAAGGAACCAAGTGAAAAATAGATTAATACTCTGAACAGTTTATCAGGAAATGGGTTCCACAAAGGACAGCAAGCCATGCTTGGCGAACGTCCCTCTACTTATAAGTAGTTAAACTGAATCTCGTTTCTAGAGTCGTCTGGAAGTGAAGATTTCACCCTCAATTGCTGCAAATGTCTCTCTTGAAATTTCCGAAGAGAAAACTGGCCGATTTTCCTGTTGTTTTTCAATGTTATATGACTGACGCTGTGCTGCTTCTGGTTAAAATATACGGGACCGACCTCCCTCTAATAAAGGCGGTTTCACCGACCCTGAGAGTGCTCTATAAGTATCAGTCACATTCCTCCAAAATGGCGCAAATCGCGAAGTGGACGTGACTTGGCATGAAGGAGATTAAAAGAAGTTTGAATGTTGTTGCTAAGGTCCGCCTTCCAAGACGGCGTCGGAATGACCTTATCTGCACCGAGCTGAAGATGGCACGAAATGGCGGCTAATTGATGCCGTGCTCTCAGTTTCCTTTCGGCTTCTCTGATTGGGTGTTTGAGGTTATAGGCACCTCAGAATGCCTGCGTAAGCTAGCGCCACAAGCCCCACTCATCCACTTTTCTTTTTCACCCTAAAGATTTAAAGAGAATCAACTAAATCCTGAGATTGAAAGGCAGTGGAGTCTCACTGACATCACTGGTGTTTGGGTGTAAGCTGTTTGAAACGACAAAGAACAAGTGCACAACAATCCAGTACCTCTAAGAAAGTGCTTCAATAAGGATTCAGTACCAGACTTCAAAGGTGCATTGAAAGGGGATACACCTCAAATGGACATTTTATAATCACTGGAGGACGTCTGTGAACAAGCAAATACGAATTAGACAGACTACCCGCGTCTGACAGACTTGAAAATAAGCGTGGAGTCAACCCAAGAAACACCTGCAGAGTAACGAATATATAAATTTACGCGGTTTCGGATTCCCAAAATATTAGAGCATGAAAGCTGATGATATGATAACTAAAAAACTTACAAAAATGTTCCGCATTAATACACTCAATACGAAAGTTAGAAACAATCCAAGTCTGCATTGAAAAATGCATTCTGGGGCTGATGCTGGACGAAACGAACTCACCTGGAGACAGCACACCACGTGATTGAGGGGACCCTGTTGGCTGGATACTCTGGATCAATACTGGAGATTGGCCTAATGGTGACAGCAGCTGGGTAGCCAACGGAATACTGGGTGTGAAAGGGGTAGCTGGCTGGAGAGGCTGTGAGAAGGGTATGGCACACCGAGGCAGGGTAACTGTGTTGCTTATGGATACGCCTTGTCGATGTAAGGGATTATTGAGAGAAAGTTGGGGTTGAACTACTAACGTTGTCGCGTGAGCAGCTGTTGTGGGCCGTCGCCTCGTGTTTGCTTTATCTGCCAGCTTACACATTACTGGCGCGGTATTGTCCCCCAACACTAGTTTGGCAGCATTCAACTGTTCGATCGCCTTTTCGGCTTGCTCTGCGAGTGCGTATCGAACGAAACCTATTCCTGGGATGGTATAAAAGGAACATGGAGGTGAATGCATGAAAAACAGGCTTGAGTGATTCAAGAGTGACCAGCGATAAATTAAAGAGCCCCGGAGGGTTCGCTGATCCACGATGCGGGGGGTGGTTCACCGGAAATGCGTAGATACATATATATGTGGATTACATTGACTACATAAAGTGCAAGAAAATGAGAGATTCATATGGTAGGACAATCATTTTCCAATATACAAAATGTGACCATTACTAGTTAAGAATTGAGGAAGTCAAAGAAAAGTAAAACCTACAGGTCTCGTTCTAATCGTAAAAATACGGACTGACCGTCCGAACTAGACATGATGAGCCGTATGGGTAGGACACAAATTTCTAAGCACAACGTGAAGGACGACGGCTTGCGACAAAACGAGGGACACACCTGTGAGTCGATCTTCATTCTCTAGTAACTTGACTGAGGTGACCTGCCCGAATTTCTGGAATAAAGCTTCCAATTTCTCTTTAGTAAAGTCCAGTGGCAGGTGTCTCACGTACACATTGTGGACGTCCTTTTCGTTCTCATGCGCGAATTTTACCAATAGTTTCCGTCCAGTCAACTTGGCCTGTTCGATTATATGATTCTTAGCCTTTTCTGCATCTTCTTCGGACGCACAATCGATAAAGCCATAGCCTGGAAAAGAACCATCATATAATGATAAAGTTGGGAAGGCTAAAAGGACCAACCTGCTTATCGAACCAGATTTCACGAACCATACAATAAGCGGATAGAAGTGACTCACCCTTACAAATCCCATTGCTGATCATCGCCTTGCACGACTTTGGTTGAACAACATTTTCGACTAGTGACCGAACAGTGTCATCCGTGTCCGTCTCATTTAAACCGCTTATGTACAGATTGGTCTTTGATGTGATCATTGGTTTTGTCCGGCGGGTCTTCAAAAGAAACAACCGGAAATCACAACTGGTAAAAATCATGAACGCGCGTGCCGAAAAGTGAAATGGTTACCCATTAGCCACTTTACTGTTGAATGAAAGCATCATTTAGACCCCATATAAAACGCAAGAAACACACTGGATTGTGCAGCGTCATCAGCCTACCTAGGTTACTATACAGTACAGGTACAATAACAACCCGATTTCAGCTGTGAGCTCCGAGCAAGGATGAAATGCGAAATGGGAGGATAGCCAAACTTTGGAAGAGACGAATTACTCCTGCAACGAGAACTACACCGGCGCTACCAACTGTTCAACTGGTGCAGGAATTGCAAGGGTATGGATGAATTTAAGTAACAGCTTGGATCCAGGTAGTCAGGCCGTCACCTACGGTATTCATGGCTCATTGGGTGAGCACGGTGTGGCGTTATGGTATGTTCGGTATGCTGAAGGCCAGCATGATATAGTAAGATGGCACGGAGGGCCTGATTCTTGATGTTAAGCTAACAAAATCAACCGACCACACGGGTGGTTCAGAGAATATCTATCTATCGAATATAATCACGATAGCTAACCACGATGCAGAATTAAAACAGAATCATGGTTCTCAACGTAAGATGGCTGTTCCTAACCTAATTTGATTAAAACTAGTCAACTCGAGTACAAGTAAAAACACAGGGATGTATATTAAGACAATTTAATGGTCCGCAGATCATTGAACACCCGGTCGTCTGAGCACAACGCTAATATAGTTGTAAGGGAGTTCCAGCTGTTGTGGTTCTGTTAGTTACTGTCTTACACAGTTCACTCAGCCAAACATACACTGGCAAGATGAACATGGAGCAAGAAAGCAGCACATGACCTTGAAAGAGTTCTCAACAAAAAACGATGCAGAAGTTGACCACACGTACATTAGATGACATTGAGAGGTGATATCAGCTGTTTCATTCATATTTTTATAAAGTCACATTTACCAGAAAAATGTTTTAAAAGGTCGAGCCGAAAATGTCTTAATTGTTGGCTATCAAGGGAGCATTACCAAGAGGGCAACTGTCCTAAGAAATGAAAATGTACTGAAATTACCGGTTCCAGGGAGAGAGCGCCAAACTGTTTGATGGGTTCAAAATGACGAAGGTTTGGTTCTATCCCAGCCACTAATGGAGTCTGCTGCTGTGAAGGGATATTGGTACATTGGTGAAGGTGGCCAAGACCACCACCCGTCAGAGGAGGTAAGAATGTCTGTAGATAGGGGAACGGAGTCCCGTAGGGAATCGAGTTTTGTGGAAGGGGCAACGGTTGTGAAATCGAGCCAACTTGAGGGAACTGCTGAAGTGCATAGGGTGGGGTAAAAGCGGCGTTGGTGAACTGTCGATTAGCCCCGACCGGTGTTTCCACTGTGGGCTGAAAGGCATAACCAAGGGTCTGCTGTGGAACGTAGGTGCCAGACGTTGATTGTAGTGAAGATCCCGGAAAGACAGTGGACTGGGCATTCTGGGCAAGGCGGACATAGCCGGAATGAACTCCTCCTAGAAGGGCATTTGAGTCCACGTTACCAACTTGGAAGGCCTGGGCGTTGGGAAGTGTTGGTTGGTTGGACATCGCAGCAAGTGCTGCCCACTGTTGCTGAGTGAAGTTTGACATTGTGGGTAACGATGGATACTGAAAAGAAATTAACAAGGTTAGTGATCCGAAACAGACAGCAAATAAGTGAAGCGAGGTAAAACGACGAAACTCACCATGCGGCTAGGATCCCACAGTGGGCTATATAGCTGGCAGTGGACCGAGGTAAAAAATGGATACTAGGTCGACCAACGGCGACATTGGCTTAGCTGAAAATGAAAGATTACGATGGATGAAATGGAAGTCTCACTAGTTGGATTTCAGAGAGCAGTGGTGTATTGTTAATGCACCCGAAAGGCAAACGAAACAATGGTATGGAGAGACGTACAAGTCTACTCACTATCGGATTCGACAAAGCAGTGTCATGGGAGGAAACGCTTGGCACCTGGAAAATAGCTTGTCCGAGGACCCCATGTTTGCATGCTTGAAATCGGAAACAAATCCACTCGTTCAGCTTTGATGCATGTCCTAAGCATAGACCGAAAACTGAGATAATGCCAGGGCATCATGCCATGGATGACCTCGATCCAGAACTTTTCCACTTTCACTTAGGGCGTTAACATCTTGCACGATTCAAGTATGTCTGGCTGCTTAGTGCAGTTTACCGGAGGCACCACTGGGGACATATTACCATTGAGGCTATTCGGATAGGGATGCTAACTTCGTCGAGATATATGTTCAGTATTCGTCAACCCTGTGGGCACCTAGGACGGCCGTACTGAACATGCCCGGGAACACGTAAATTCGACAGGAACGAATTTCGAAAATATATATTTAACTATATAACTGGTACGTTGTGGAATGACAAGAAGCAATAATGTGACTGAGTTCAAATGAGGTTTCCGCATTCACAGATCCCGTTGGGAGCACTGCTACTAGAATGCTTTGCGCAGACATTCTCAACTTATGTTTGTTCATAGCCACATCACTCTCGTTTGAACGGCCGTGTTCCTGTTCTGGCGTAATTATTCCGGTGAGTCCACACCAAAGGGAAGCACTAGACTCGAGTTTCGCTCTTATTAGAGCTCATCAGCAGTGCATTTCTAATGGCGTGCCGGGATTTGAACCCCGGACATCTGACATGCGAGGCGAGCGTGTAACCACTACTCCACCAACGCACGTTGGACGCATCTGAATCATCACGTCTGAACAGGCAAAACGTGCTCACACTTGAGCGATGTGATTGGTGTGCCCGACTTAGTGTTAGAAATATAGCTTTCAGGTGGGCATTTCTTGAAGATAATCCCGGAGCAGCTCAATATCGTTACTCATTTTACGCTACTGATGGCCTAATTTGCATTTCGCATCACTATATTCTTCCGCCTTCCAGTTGATAATCTATCAAAGCTATTTGCCGTTATCCCATCGGCAGAAAAATGATAGGAGAGCCAGTAAATCAGACAAGACAATCAAACAGATACTGGACTATCGCAGAACGTCCAGGTATTCTAAGCACCCTGATTTTGATTATATGGAAATCGTCAGTGCAAAGAAACACGCAGGACAGGGCTTGCACCCAAGCGGCAGGAGGCAACAGCTCTCTGATCTTACTAGCCAAGGGATTCAAGGATGATCAGCATTACGTGAAAATCAATAGAGCAGTGATCTTCAGAGGTTTGAACTCGGTTATCTACCATACGAACATACTATAGGAGTGAGGTGAAGTTTCGCACAAGAGTGCTTTGAAAATGGACCATCACACAACTAAGCATACCGGCCTGTGAAGGCAACGTGAATAGCATACATTGTATTGTTACATCCAGAGGAATGGTCACCCAGAAATCAACGCTTAGCACACAATCCAAATGAATTACGTCACTCCGCTGGGTTGCACCGTCCGTTTTATGAGAAAACCCGGCTACATAACTGTGTATTCCTGTTTGCTACTGGAAACTGGTATCAACAGGGCGAGATGGCCCAAGTGGTTAGAGCGCGAATTTACTGACCGGAAGGTCCGCGGTTCGAACCCGACTTCCGCCACTCGACTTCCCCTGTCTAGGGTTGGGCAACCTGGCAGTATCCCAGCCCTCATGCTTCCTTCGGGTGGCATGGCAGTTAGGCATCGAAAGGGTGCTACAGCTGAACGATTTGGTATCAACATTGCATTCCAATTCACTCCACGGCCCTAAAGTTTGTATTGAAGATAAGCTTAATCTTTTTTCCGAGGTGTTCGACCTGGCGCTCAAGACGACGCTCCTTTGAGAAGACTATCATTCCATTTAGTTCGCTCACACTGGATCTATCTAGTAAAGCTAATCGGGAAAGTTGCGCTGTCACCTATCCGAACAATATCCTACCCTCTCAACCAATTTTATTTAATCCCTAGAACCCGCTTGAAGAGACACACGCTAAATGCTCTGAAATCTGCATGTGGCCGTGCCACGTCCAAGAAAAGCTTAGCAATACTGGGGATGCCCTTCGTAAGGATTCCGGCGACCCATGCCGCCGGTGGATGACCGTCTCTCACCAAAGTGGCAAATATGTTATCTGATCCTTAGTGCAAGAAATGGAAGGACACCATATATCGACTGCTAGAATGTCCACATCTTCCTCAACAGTGGAACTCAGTTTCACTACACGAAGTCTCCTTGATGATTAAGTTGATACATGTCTTTCGGAGATACAAACTCTTGCTTCCAGTGTAACATACCGGAGTTTCCATCGTTGTATCACATGCATTCTCCTGTAAAAGGACGAGATGGCTTAGTGGTTAAAGCGCAAATGAACTGACGGGAAGGTCCGAACCCGACCTCTGCCTCTCGACCTCCCCTGCCTGGAGGCAATCTGAGAGTATCCCAGCCCTCGTGCTTCATTCTGGTGGCATAGCAGTTCGGCACCGAGTGCTACAGCTGAACGATTTTTTATCTATAGACCAGCCATTATACCAGTTGTTCCAACAAACAGCTAGTCCACAGGCTAATCTGACCACCAGGCTTTCAACGTCTAGCTTACAGGCTAATCTGACCACCAGGCTTTCAACTTCAACTGAAAGGACTCATCTGACTAGTTTATTACTACAACCTTGAGAAATGATGGCGGATTGTTTACTGTTCAGCCTCACGCATTCGAGCTTGCCAAAAGGAGACCAAAGGTTTCGATTTAGAATCCGGTATATTTTGGATCATTCACTTCCGTCCGGGCTTTGAATTTTCCAAACGACTAGACAATGGCACAAACACATTCCTTATTCTCACGGTCATCATAATCATCATCACCACCGACAGCATGAGACCAGTGTTCAACACGGACGCTTCACTTCCGCACAATCATGATTAATTTGAAAGCCTTAGAGAAAAGGAAAAAGACGAGGAAGAGAATTAGTGCTAGCTTACTACAATCATTCCGAGATGCCTACACCTTCAGACATTCACTCAGGCGATCTGGATAGAAACTGACAACAAGAACGCCACTGACGTCGCTCGGCAGCCATGTCTTGTAGCGTCTCCAACCAGGTGCAGTAAAAATCACGCGGTCCCCATGGAAGGTGAGTACCACCGACAGCACCCTCTGCCAAGTCAAGTGTTGGCCACCTCTCTGTTTACGTCATTCTAAATTGGGCATGGAAAACACCACTCTCTTCGGCCAATGATGGCTAGGCATACGCGACACATGTCCCAACCAACGCAGCTTTTCTTGCTGGACATATTCTTCAAGTGAAGTATCTGTTGCACAACCGAAAACGCGCTTTCTAATTGCCCCATTTTGGATTCGCCGGCACCAACCCACACGACCTACAGTTCTGAGGCGAATGTCGAACACCTGAAGACGCTTCAGTTCCGCTGCTCGAACAGGCCAAGTCTCACAGTCATACAACAAAACAGCCCGTTCTACAGCTTGATACACACGTCCGCTGAGATTCAGGGATAAACCAATCAAATTAGCAAACGCCACCCGAGCCTTGCAGATTCATGCATTCACCCTATCTGTCACACTACAATCAGAACTAAAACAACATCCAAGATACGTAGAACACTCCGGACTTCGAGTGCTTCCCCCTGGATTGTAAGTGGCGTGTTAAGTGACTTCATGTCCAGGAGCATGACCTTGCACCTTTTGGGTGCAAATTGTATGCCAAAGGACGGGATGACTTTGGTCAGTTCATTCAAACACCGGCGCCTTCTCTTCGAAGATGAGAACGATGACGACATCAACATCATCTTCAGCTGTAAAAACCGTCCATAAGTTGACAGTGGTTATAGCTACCGCAGGACACGTACCCCATACACCAGAGGACCGTCGCAGAGGTTTTCTCATCCATCCCCGTTCTGGAAGCGATCAAAGGGTGGATAGTCTATGGCCTAGAGACGAAGTGACAAAATACTAAGTAAACTCACTCGGGTCGACAGCTGCCAGTCGCCTGGATGGGGACCCCGGAACTGAACTCAACAGTGGCTAGAGAAACAAGTGGACAAGTCTCCACCATCGTTCACCAAACTTATCGTCTTCGCTGCAAGCTGTCCAGGTGGCCGAAACAATTGATTATGCCATTGCCTCCTATATTTCCTTTCCAGTGACTGGAGTTGCAGTAGCAGGAGCCGATTTGCTCTTAGTGTAGGGCTTATGGCTGATAAACTGACTGAATGACAGGTAGTTTTGCCCGCCGATGATCTCCGGTGGATAACAATCATCTTGATGCGTGAATACAGAGATGTCAGTGGACCCTGTACTGGGGAGATCGGGAGAGAAAGCTATGCATAAAAGACATCCTGAATGATGAGGACCAATAAGCGTGCGACCGAGCCACGAGTGACCACGTCTATAACGGTATGTCCCTCCCGTGTGGCCGAAACAATTGATTATGCCATTGCCTCCTATATTTCCTTTCCAGTGACTGGAGTTGCAGTAGCAGGAGCCGATTTGCTCTTAGTGTAGGGCTTATGGCTGATAAACTGACTGAATGACAGGTAGTTTTGCCCGCCGATGATCTCCGGTGGATAACAATCATCTTGCTGCGTGAATACAGAGATGTCAGTGGACCCTGTACTGGGGAGATCGGGAGAGAAAGCTATGCATAAAAGACATCCTGAATGATGAGGACCAATAAGCGTGCGACCGAGCCACGAGTGACCACGTCTATAACCACCGGTATGTCCCGTCTCAGGCCTTCCATCCAGGGAAACCGCAATGACCAGCACAGCTGAGTTCGTTGGTAAACGCTTTCATACTTCGCTACGTTGCATGACCTCCTCTAGCTAATTTCCACCATTTT